CGCAGGCTCTGCCTAGGTATGAATCCTGCCTCCCTCACCCACTAGGTAGTAATCTTGGGTGAGTCACCTCATCGGAGTTCCTTCATTTGTAAACTAGGAGCAAGAATAATAGCACTTACTTCAGTAGAATTGTCGTGGTGATTAATTGAGGCAGTGCCTGTCAAACATAGAGCACAGTGCTTGCCAAATAGTGCCGCCCGTAGATGTGCGCTATAATATTCCTTCTACTGCTAAGTATTATTATCAGTGCAGGAACCGTGTGATGGAGAGAAGAGGTACAAGGAATATAGGTAAAGAAGCACCCGAGGAGGGTGCTCCAATCCTAGCCATTTTTAGCGCATGCAATGTTTACTGTGTGCCAGGCACTCTGCCATCTGCTTGTTTCACGTTTGCTAAAAAAAAAAAAAAAAAAAAAAAGTCTAGATGTGTTCCCTCCCCTTACTTTTATTGTGCCCCACTTGGCTGGTGTTGGTGGTATAACACTCTGCTTGTGGTGTTGTCTCTAATGACATTATTCTGGATCCAAAGTGAGGTATCATGGCAAGATGGTGAGACCATGCATTGGAGAGTTATGACCTTGGGTCTCATCTCTGTTGTGTAAACCTCTCTGAGCTTCAGATTCCTCGTATCTCTAATAAATCTCTAACAATAACCACAGCCAACATTCATTGGGAACCTACAATATGCCGGGCACTGCGGGATGTAAACTTTCTCCTTTCCAAGAAGAGCTGTAAGAAGTTTGGGGAACAGCTGTGTCCGTGTGTCTATAAGCAAAGAGCTTGGGAGCTGAGGTATCCTCAGAATGACTTAGGGAAACAACCTTATGTCCACGTATTGGGAGGGAAGGGGAGGGAAGGCAGGATGGTGGTGGAAAATGTAGCACGGGTCATCCAGAGATTGGTCCTTGACTCTGGGTAAGTTATTTGGATGCCTGCTCAATTGCTGTCCTTACCTGTGCCCCAAGTTTCCTGTTGGCAAGAAATATAGAGGGTTTCAAAATTTAGAGTCAGACTGAAAAAGTCATTTGTTGTTACTGTTTTTAGCTTTCTACAATAGAACTCAGCTTCGATCTGGAGCCCACATTTCCACTGATGGTAACTCAGTCATGTCTGGTTGAAAACTTGGTATCTTTTTTGGGTAGATAGCAAATAAATTCAGATTGCTCTCTCTACCCTCTTTCCCTTCTTTTTGGGTTCTCAGGAGGCTTATGTGTTGTCCTGTCTTGGGGATGTGTATCTGCTCCATGAATCTCCCTCTGGACACTTCAGGACTCAATGGTAATGTCTTCATCCCCCGGAATGCTAGAAGAGACTGGAGGTTGGGGGATGATGGTAGTAAGGCAGTAATGCTATCTCAGATCCTCTCTGACATAGAAGGCCATGTGGTTATCATTTCTGTGCAAATCCTGGGTGCCCCATATTGACAAGCACACTGACAGAATGCCCCGCCCAGATGCCTAGGGCAGGATGTAAGACGTTAAGTCACTTTAGCTTTCAAATCCCCAACTCTATCTGGGTGCTTCTCACCATCTCCTCCGGAGAACGAAGATTCAGGAGAGGCAGGAATCAGGCCCCATACTTTCTTGTTCATCTTTCTCTGCTTGGGCCAAAGTCCTCTCCCAGTCCAGGACAGGATTTGAGAGTCTTCCTATGTAGTGAGGAACTGCTCTGATGTCATATCCTGTATTCTTTCTACTCTGTGGCTTATAGTTGCAACACTGTGCTCTGTTTTCCAAGTTTGATTCTCCGTAATTCAAAACCATCATTTATTTATTATTTGTAGTACTTACTGTAGGATTTACAATATGCATACCTAACAACACAGTCCACCTTCAAATGATATAACACTTTTTGTATTTGTGAACATTCTCATTCTTTGTGTTCTTTGTGCTGTCGTATGTTTTATATATGTTCTCAACCCCACAATACGTTATTGTTTTGCCTTCAACCATCTATTATCATTTAAAAGAATTAAAAGATGAGAAAGAAAATGTCTTTATGTTACATAGTGCTCCTTTCAGGCATTCTTTTTTACATTTTTGTAAATAAAAGTTTCCCTCTAATGCCATTTTCCTTCTGCCTGAAGAAATTCCTTTAACATTTCTTTTAATGAAAATCTACTGTAGAGGTGGTGAGTTCTTTCAACTTCTGTTTATCTAAAACAAGTCATTATTTTACCTTCATTACAAAAGATATTGTTGGTTATAGCATTCTAATTCTAGGTTGACAAGTGTCTTTTTCTTTTGGTATTTTAAAGGTGCACAGATTATCTTCTGGCTTGCATAGATTCTTATGACAAGTCTGACATCATTCTTACCTTTGTCCCTCTGAATGCAATATGCCTTTTTGGGGGCTGCTTTTAAGATTTTCTCTTTCTCACTGTGTGTGTGTGTGTGTGCATGCACACACAATTTGATTATAATATGTCTTGGTGCCATTTTCTTTGTGTTTGTCCTGTTTGGGGTCTATTGAGATTCTTGTATTTGTATGTTTATAATTTTATCAAATTTGGAAAACATTCTTTCCATTATTTCTTCAAATATTATTTCTGTCCCTGCCCCCACCCCACCTCCAGACTCCAAGTGCATGTATGGCAGATAGCTTTATATTGTCAAAGAGGCTCTGTTCGTTCATTCTAGAGAGTTTTATTACTATAATTTTAAGTTCACTGGTTTTTTCTTCTGCACTGTTTAATCTGCTATTAATCTCACTTAGTAAAAACTTCATTTCAGATACTGTCTTTTTCATTCTTAGAAACTCCATTTGGTTCTGACTTAAATATTCTGTTTTTCTCCTCACTATAATTATGTTTTATTTCACAACTTTGAACACGCAAAACATATCCATAATAGCTGTTTTAATAGCCATGTTTGCTAATGCTATCACTTGTTATTTCTGGGTCTGTTTCTTTTTTTTTTTTTTTTTTTAAGATTTTATTTATTTGACAGAGAGATAGAAAGAGAGCACAAGTAGGCAGAGAGGCAGGTAGAGGGAGATGGAGAAGCAGGCTCCCCGCAGAGCAGGGAGCCCGATGTGGGACTCAATCCTGGGACTCAATCCTAGGACCCTGGGATCATGACCTGAGCCGAAGGCAGATGCCCAACTGACTGAGCCACCCAGGTGCCCCAGGTCTGTTTCTATATACTGATTTTTCTCCAGGCTATGAGTCACACTTTCTTGCTTCTTTACCTGTCTGGTAATTTTTTACTGAATACTGAGCATTATGAATTTTGCATTTTTGGGTGCTAGATTTTGTCATACTTCTACACACAAAAGATGCTCCTTTTTTTTTTTCCTGGCAGGTATTTCAGTTACTTGCCAATCAGTTTGATTCTTTCAGGGCTTATTTTTAAACTTTTTGGTTAGGCCTAGAGTAAACTTTATTCTATGGATCATTTAGCTTCATTTCTAAAGCCTGATCCTTCTGGAGTCTTTACTGAATATGCCCTGAATTCCAGCAAAGCCCATCCACTTCGGCTGGTGAGCTTGCAAACAGTTTGTGGCCCTGTGAGATCTCTTGGAATTGTTTGGCTTACGGCTGCCCAGACTATTGCAAACAGTTTGTGGCCCTGTGAGATCTCTTGGAATTGTTTGGCTTACGGCTGCCCAGACTATAACTCTTCTCTCCTGGAATTTTTTTCTTGCCAGGTCACATAGGGTTTCATCCTACTCACACACAGGATTGATATTCAGCCAACAACTCAAAGGGACCCCTTTGCAGATTTCTGGAGATCTCTGTGCAGCCCCCTCCTCTTTACTTCTTTCTCTTGCAGACTGTAGCAAAGGTAGCCTTCCCAGCCTCTGTCTTCTCAATTCAGTGAGATCACTGGGCTGTCCTTGGGTTCCTGTTCCTATGCTGAAGTCTGGCTATCCCTTTTTTGCAGAATGCCTGGTGATGATTGGACTCAACTTTTTTTTCCTCCCCTTTTCTAAAGCATCACAGTATTGCGCTGTCTGTTGTTCAAAGTCTAAAAATACTTGTTTGGAAGATATCAAACAGTTTTCTAGTTATTTATGGCAAGAGGGTAATCTGAACCCTCTTACTCCCTGCTAGTCAGAAGCAGAAGGGCTCAGAGTTATTCTATTGTATACTAGTTTTTTGATGATAACTTTCATCTTCAGAATTGTGGTTGGTACAGTGGTTTTCCTGAGAATGCCTAGGCTTTACTTATTCTTGATTCAAGAGGATAAATTTACCTGAAATTTACAGAAATTCTATAAGGAAAGAAATTTGAATTCAAGGAGAAATAAGGAAATTAATTCAATAATATTTACTGAGCACCTCCTATTCGCTAGTCCCTGCCCTCATTGTTGGAGATATAACCATAAACAAAGATTGAAAAAAAAAATCTCTGCTCTTACTGAGTGCACTGTAGAGAAAGTAGAGGAAGAGGCAACAAGCATAATAAATAAGTGAAATCTTAAAATTTATAACAGGTCAGATGGCAAGCGCTACATGAATTATAGAGAAATAATAATCCTCCCAGCACGCATGTGGCATTGGCTGGAAAACATGGCCTTTGTCCCTTCATATACTTGAATGATGGAGGCCATCTGCTTAGAGGTAAAGTAGCCAAGTATATTACCATAAATGTAAGTCTACTCGAGGGCTGTCCCCTCATGCCCTGCTAATCTCTGTAATTTATACACACTTACCACAAAGTCATCTTCATGGAAGCATTCCCTAAATTGTTTCTTTTCAGTTTTCTCAACAGGACTTGGACACTCCATGAGGGTAGGCCTTGTGTCTGCCTTTGTTCACCATTATATCCCCAAACACTCCATATAGGTTTGGTATTTGGAGAGTGCTCAATACATACTTGTTAGCTTTTAAACATGTGTACGTGTTGAAGAGCTTCGTGGATGCACTGGTTTCTCGATACCTGCCTGTGTTGTACCTTATCTGCACCGCCCCCCACCTCTCTCTTTAAAAGTACCGGTCAACTTCTCTTTGAAAGTCACCTGTTCTGATCACTCTCTCCTTCTTTCTCTTTTCTGTAGCTGTGCAGTCACTCCACACCCTAAATGACCAGATATCCCATTTTATTGTCACCAAGTCGAAGGCACTGGAAGAAGACAAAGACCCCTTTCTACCCACTGAGAAAGAGACTCTGAAGAGTTCCATGATACTGATGAGGCACCTCTTAATGGATGCTCAGGTACAGAGATTGACAAGGAAATTCTACATAGAGTCCATGGTATCTTTTTTTGTGTTGCTGTTTTTGGTAGAAGTTGTGCAAAAATGTTCGACTACCACACTTCCTGGAAACCACCTTTGTGATAAACAGCCGTATAGTGGACATTCTGATATACTGGGTCTTGGATTTCTGGTTAGGAATTATTTGGGGTCTAGTATTAAAATAGCTTGGTTTTAAGTCAAAGTAATAGGGCTTAAAAATAATATATGTGTTGTTTCTGAGAATTTAACAGATCTCTCATTAGCCTTGGAAAAGTGAAAAATCCATTTACATACAAACTTGGCAGGCATCAAAGCTGGCGAAGGCTCTGGAGTAGAGTAATATGTATCCCAAACAGCATCACTGAGCAGCTAATGAATATTTTGGTACATTTGATGCACCACCAGTAAGCGAATCAGCACTGTTGTGGGTTTTTTTGTTTTTTGTTTTTTTTAATGCTCGCAATGAATTAATTACAGAAGGCATTTAGCTCGTTGTTCGCTTTTGTTGAGATTCTTCTTCAAGGTTTTTCCTTCTGCACTCTTTTATTGAAATATTTAAAGGTAATCCATGTACTCCTTCTGGCTTTGTTGGTGAGTCTCTCCAGATATGTTGGTAGGCAAACACCAGGTGTTTCAGGAGAACTGATAGTTTTCGATGTTAGTGAAGCCAAGCTGAACTAGACTTCATTGTCATTCCTACCTCGTCAGTATCTAGAAATGTTTCCAAAAATGGTCTTTGGTTTGGGTGATTTTGTATTGGTTTGCCCCGGAGCTTTCCTCCTGAGTTTGTTTTCTGATCTACAGTGGTTTAGGTCAGAATGGTGGCTGGTTTCCTGGGTTCCGCTCTGTATCAGATTTTGAACGGTGGTTTCTTTGCTTTTGTTTCAACCATGGCAGTGGTTTGTGTTTTGTTTTTCTAAATCAATCCTGAAGCCTGTGTCTGGTACCAGTAAGACCTGTACTGGCAAGATCTTGGTGCATTTCTCACCTGTCAATGCTTAAAGCTGCCCCATGGGGTTTTTGAGCCACTGTGTTCAGAGGACCCAAATTATGCAAAGCCTGTCATTTTTATTCAGTGTTCTCCCTTCTCCCCTTTATTCTGAGCAGCCCATTCCACTTCTCCTTTCTTCCTGAGCCTGTCTGGTGGAAAAACAAAAGATTCTGAAGCTCTAACAGCCAATTTTAAGACTCAGGGGAAAACTAAAAGGGGGGGTGGATTTAGAACAATTTACCAAATAAAAGAGGGCAAATTATTCTTGGAAGGGTTAGCTTTCCTCAGTGCCTGGACCCAATCCTGTAGCTCACACCCCAGCCAAGGGGACTAGCCTAATGATTCTCCTGAGATAGTGTGTAAACTCTAGTTTGTAAAATCTAAGGAAATAAAAAGCCATCTTTTTTCTCTCCTTCACTAGTGTCTAGAATAGGATTTCAGAAATGTTCCATATTGCTTAAGAAAACGTTCCCCTCCCTGAATTTTGGATTCATTTGACAATTTTTATCATTCGTGGTATTGATCACAATTTTCCCCTTTTTTATCTAATGAGACTAGAATATCCCATTTAATGTGGTTACTGTATAGGACCGTGTTATTACCTCATTCTCTCCTGATCCCCATTCAATGCCTGCTAGAATTTTCTCACTTACATAGCCAGATAAAATGGAGCAGGGTATGATGGATATTCCCCAAAGTCACACCTCCAGAAGGAGGGTGGTTAAGTCCTCTTCCTGAGGGGGCAGAAAACAGAAGGTCAGGTAGAAGTGTGTGGTGTCTGGACTTGCCATTTCTTTTGCCTACTTTTGTTCAAAGACTCTTCCCTCTTGTCTTTCAGACTGATATAGGATGAGGTAAATTGTGATTAGTTTGGTCTAAAAATACCACCCTCATTTCTTTTCTCTCCAAACCACTAACTTTTTGGAACGTTGTTTGTGGTTATCTCTAGGTCTGTAGCTGAAGGCAATTAGAATCATGTTACCTAATGCCCCCAGGCTCAGAGCATCTCAGTAAGATCAGTGTTGTGAAACTTATAAAATGCTAAGGACCCCCAAGATTTTTGGGTACAGTCAGGGGTGATATGTGGTTTTCAGTTTTGAAGGAGATAGCTAGAGACATGTGATTTCTAAGGAGACTCTTTATCGAGCATTTTTGGAAATTCAGTGATTTTCCATTCATGGTTTGACATTGCTTCTTACCTCCATTGCAAAGACGAATGAATGTACTTATTTCATATTCTAAGTTCATCAATAAATGGGAGGTCAACAGTATGTGAATATAACTTTTATGTGCCTCCTACCCCTCAGCTGCATTTTGTGATATTAATAGATGCGTGATAGATTTGTGTATTGGAGGACGAAAGCTTCTACAGAGCAGTAACCACATCCCTTAACTTGGTTGGTGTAATAGCCTGCTCACTTCCACACCCAGAGGACTCTTAATAGCATTAGATTATGATGAAATGCCCTGACATCAGTCTGCGAGTTGAATGAAGTCAGGCGCAAAGTATTCCAGAGAACCTGGAGGCCACTTTCGAGAGTGGCTGCTTAAAAGGCATAATCGATTCAAGTCACATCTGTCTTGGAAGCAATAAATCCTGCTTAGGAGAATGTCAAAGGCAAAAGCATTGCTGGGCTATGAAATTCTACCTCTGAGGATTATAAAACAGTATGCACAGAGCAAACAGATCTCCCAAGTATAATAGGGGTGCCGGACATGATTGGCAGGTGTGACAGTGCATTCTGGAGAATGGAACGGCTCACATGGGCAGTCCAGAGTCCCGCAGTTGTTTATTAATTCCCTACATGTCTGTATGAGCGTTTCAGGGGTGTCTCAAAGAGGCAGGGCTCCTCTGTTTGCACTCCATTCCCCTTGTAGTCCGCAGGCCCCCAAATTCAATGACGTGTACCATTCAGACCACATTGGAAACCTGATCTTGTGGCTTTTGTTCCTGAGTGCTCTGGCTAAACCCAAAGTGCCGACTCAGCCTCGTGAGTGATTAGATTCATAACACCGAAGAGGCCGTTCTTTCTGGTAGAGATTAATTCTTTTACTTGCCCAGTGTGACTCTGCATGCTAAGAGAGGTTGATTACAGCAAATTAAATCTCCTATTGGCAGTTCTCTCCTCCTTCCCCCCAAAGACCTAATATCATTATTTATTAAGGGGTGAACAAATGCTTGGGAAAACGATAAGATCGCTTTGTTGGCAGCAAGGTCCTCTCCTGGAAGGCTGGGCGCTAGAAGGCAAGAGAAATTTCCATGCCCCGTGGGCTCTCCCTCTGCAGCCACAGCAAGTGAGGAAGGGCCCGTGTCCCGCTGCCTGGGCCTGGCGGAGTGCGGAGTGCGGGGCAAGGAGGCAGGAGGCCCTTCTCCCCAGACCGTGGCCTGGATTTGAAGGTGGAGCTTGTTTTAAGTGAGGCCAAGGCCCGAGTGCACTCTTCCCACAGGTCCATCTCTAGGAAGGAAGGAAGCAAGACACTGACAACGAAAATAAAGCGCACAACCATCCTCTCTAAGCCAGTGTGTGCCTACGGCCTGGCAGAAGCCAAATGTTCGGCGGAAAATAGATGAAATCTGCTTGATCCTCTGGCCCGCCCTTTCTTGGCTCTTCCCTCCTCTTCCCTTTTCCTTTTGCTTTCCTTTTGCTCCTCCCTCCACCCCACCTGGAGCATCCCCTCCTCCTTCGCTACATTCCCCCCCCTTTCTCCCCTGCCTCCTTTCCCTTCCTTCCCCTCTCCTTTCCTTTCCCCTTCTGCTTTTCTTTCTCTTATTTGTGTTCAGGGAACTTGAAAGCCTATTTGCCAAAACTGCATATTCCCCTCGCCAACCGCGGGGGAGAGCAGCAACAGGATGTGGGGTGACCGGCAGGAGGCAAGCCTGGGGTTTGGGAGGCAGAAGGGGTTCCTGCCAGGATCCGAGATTCCGTGTGATGGTCCTCTGGGTCGTGTGATTTTCTTTTCTAGAATGGTCTAGAAAACTCCTCTCCGCTGGCTGATGATGCTTTCTGATTAATTTCCGGCACGATCGGGCCAATTTAACATGAGTAGATGGACTGTTTGAGCTGCCTGGACACGGTCACTCTCTAGACTGGCCTCAAATGGGGAAGTGTGGTCTGGAGCAGAGACCCCACCAGGGGAAAAGGGCTCAGGCTCCTGACAAATAGGGAGGGAGGGTTGGCTTGTCTGCTTGTTTTGGGAAGGAGACCTTGGGAATCAGGTGTTTGATACAAATTCATGACAGCCATACACTGGAAGAGGATCTCTCCCTTTTATAGCACTTTCCATCCCTCCATGTGCTTTCTGAAGCCAACACTGTGCTCAGGGCATAGACCTGGTGGTCTTGACAAGTGCAGGTATCTGGGACTTTCTAGCTGCAGCTGGCTTTAAGGTCATGCCAGGAGCACCAGCCTGTCAACAGCCCTAGGGGACATCTTGCCCTGAAATCGCACAAACTGAGGCACCAGGAGTGTGCTTGGCTCTCAAGTTCATAGTATCGCCCCGAGCACAGGTTTTTCGTAGTGGCTTTTGACATGTGACCCCATGCGGAAGCAAGAACCAAAATGTCCCTACTTTATGCCAAGCAGAGAGGAAACTCTGACAGAACGGGGGCCAAGAGGCAAAGTTTTTAACAGAAGAAAATCACCCCAGGGATATGTGTAAGTCTATTCATGCTGTCAGATTTCCACCTCTTACGGGTCCTAGGAGAAAGAAATACTGAAATGGATGCTGAAGAGGTTAGTTCACCTAACTAGGAAGCTACACTGGTAAGGGGATTATTCAAAGGAGTCGCAGCTTATCCCCTCCAGTAATCCGCGGCTCCATTACCCATCCATCCTGTGCATTCGGAAAGACAGTGCTTACTTTCTGTTCTCAGATGCAAACTGTGAAACCAAGAGGTCCGAAGCTTGCGGCTTCTTGTATAACTTGTGCGAGCCCACTTCCTATTCTGCCATGGTGATTTTGATCTTTTAAAGTTTGTTTGTTTGTTT